ATAAAAAATATTTTTATAGGCACAATATAATATCAAAAAGTTCAATGAGTATGATAGATGCTAGTCGAAAAATAATAAATAAGGTATCACATTATCAGCGCCTAACATATATTTTGGCTAATTAGAAAAACTAAAGAATTCTTATCTTCTTTTTTTCCAATAACCTTAATCCAATTCTCTAACTTGTGAACCTCTAATGTCATTTATGCTTTTTTTTGTAGCGGACACTTTCACAAAATATACCAACACATGTACTATATAATGGCTCTTCCCATCCAAGTCCATCTAATTTTTTCATATATTTTTCAAATGTAGGTGCACTATTTTTAATCAATAACTCCAGAGCAGTAATCATCTTCTCATCAATTTCCAATTTAGACGAATAAGTTTTTTTTCTTCCCCAATTTTTTTTCCCAGCTAAAATTGAAGATTGGGATGTAGAATTAGTAGGAGCTCCATTATTTTTGTCACCAACTAGTTCAACAACAATAATATATCAAAGGGTCTCAATAAATTTATTGACCTAAGACAGAATTCTAATAAGAGACCTCAAATATGTATACATAATTATTATTTTTAATTATGAATAGTATTTTTTCACTCAAAAAACCTTGATGAACATCAATACACTAAAAATATTATTGCAACAAGTGTTCTTGACAAACATCAATACACCCTAAGAAAAATATTCATATAAAAAAAATACTCGTAAAGATTATGAAAACTTACCAGTTCAAGAGGAAAAAATTGGTGTTTGATTGAGAAAAGAGAGGAAGAAAGTTTGTAGTTGAGAGAGCAAAAGTCACGCAAAGACCAAGAGAGGCGATACAATGTTATTTTATAACTTATTAAATAAGTCTGAATGGTGTTAAAAATTCCTACAATGATAACATATCACCGCTACTCTATCTACTTTCACCACCCCCACAATTCATTTCAGCCACATCTATCATCATTGTCAATCACCACCACCTACCATCCTCTATCCAACCACAAACACCATTAGTGTCAATCACCAAAATCAATCGCATCACCATTAGACATTATTTACAATCATCACCACCAACCATTATTACATCCACTATCACTAACGATAATTTACACCATTAGTCAACACTATATATCACTAACCGCCACCATTATTCACCACCTCCATTAGCTAATAGTATCATTCCATTACTAATTATCAGCCGCGACTATCAACAAGTAAAGTTAATCACTACTGCCAACCATTATACCATAAGATACAAGCCACAACCACCATCATCACTTAACACCATCCCAAATTGACACATACAATCACCATTGTTAGTCATCACCACCACCAATTGTAATAGAAAAATTAAAAATATTTTATTAATATAATCTTAGATAAATTTAGTAATTTTTTTACTTAATTCTTATTATTTTTTAATAAAAATGAATTCTATACATTCAGATGTTGAGAAAACAAACAGTATTAACTATTTAGTATTCAAATCTTAATGTACATCTTAATATTCAAATTTGCATTCAGATTCAAATGTCTTAGTCTTAATAAAAATAAATTCTCTATGAAAATTACATTTTTTTAATATTAGGTTAATTTTATCATCTGTATATCAAAGATATTGATCTAAACATAAGCTTTAAGCACATACATTCATGCTATCACATAAACTTAATGATATCCGAATCTTAAACATGATAATCTTCTTAGAATATGTCAGAGAGAAAATACTTGAATCGTAACCATTATCATATATAAATGACTGGAAGTGTTAATTGAAAATTGATTTCTACTTCTGCGCCCGCTTTAAGCACACACGTTCATGCTATCATATAAACTTAATGCATATCAAGATCTTAAACATGGTAATCTTACTAGAATATGTTGCAGAGAACAATCATGAGGCATACGCATTATCATACATAAATGAGTTGAAGCGGTAATTGACAATCGATTTCTACATGTGCCCTAACCTTATGCTACTAGCGGCACAGATAGTGATGAACTTATGCATATATATGTGATAACCCTAATGATGGAGGGATGATCAATTTATAGAGGTTGAGACTTAATCTTGTATGTCCATCAAGTAACGGATCTAACGGACGAGATTCGTTCTTCATTAAATATTAGTTTTGGATTTTTCATTAATTCAGTCACACATAAAATAATAAAAAGTCTAACATTCTCCCACTTAGCTCAAAGACCACATAACACTAATATTTAATGACATATTCATTAATTGCGGATAAAACACAATTTTTTCTATAATGTCTATCATACATATCATGATATGACAAAACATGAGTTATGACGGTTATACATAATTTTGTGCTACATATTTCCTTTCATAATTGATAGATGGCAGTTTACTTAACCTTTTTTCCACATTACTGCTCCTTCAATGTATCAAGCTATTAAAATTAAAGATTTATTGAATATAAAAATGTTATTATTTTTTAAACAGACTAAAAAAAAGTAAGGCCCATAAATGAAAACAAACAACCCAGATCTTTTGGTTAATGTGGCAAGACCGATGATTATTTTAGAAAAAAATTGGAATTTTTAGAAAATAAGATTTTTTGGATTAGGTGATAAGCACCACGTGTCTAAAAGCATTTTTATGTGGTGCTAAGGCAAAATTCTCTAATTGATCAGGAATATAACAAATCGAAGGATATCTAAGGCAAACAATATTAAAATGAGAGAAGTAAGGAAGACAAAGTGAAAAGTGGAAGTCATAACTTTCTCCATTTTACTTTTTTTCTTTTTATTGTCTGAATTATCAAGATTAAAACGAAAAAACTACAACCTATAAATCCAAAATAAGGCGTGAAAGGGATTACGCATATCCTAAGTCCTAAAAGGAATGTATAGATGTAGAGATCCATAGGTAAATATACTATCTACTTTTAGATAGGCCCATTCATGATCTTTTAATTTGTCAAAACTTTTAAAATTTCGTAAAGCCCTCCTAGAATTCCTTTTGGCACTCAGTTCCTGATCTACATCGTGTCAATCCCCATCAAAGTGATTCTTCCATTTCCATGTAAAGATCATTTCCTTCCGGAGTATGTTCACCCACTTTGGATGGTAAAGAAACTTTAATTAGCCATACTTTCCAAAGATGATCCTGCCGGTACAGACTATGTTGTTCGAACTTTCTAAAATTGTTGTCACACCCATTGTCGGATTCTCCAAAATGCATTATTTTTGGAGTGTTTTACACACACTTGTCAATATTTTTAAGAATCTAAGCAACATAGGGAACAGTGCTCCAAGGGTCCCAAATGACAATGTTGCGGAAATATTGTGGATTAACTAGCTCACAATCACAAACAAAGAAAATATATAGACAAGAAGAATAACATAAGGATTTAATGAGATTCGGCTAGGCCTACTCCTCCCATCAAAATCAGAGAGAGTTTTCCACTATGAAAGAAATACAATAAGTTTTAAAATGTTTTCAAACTCTTAGGACTATATTGTGTATCCTGTACAATGCTTTTGAATCCCCAACTATATCTCATATATATAGATGCCAATAGTCCTAAACCTACAAGGAAAAAGTTTTCTCAATCCTAAAAGGACAATATAATTCTTTTCCAAATCTATTAGAACAAAGGATCTCCTGAATAATAATTATGAGTTTTTTACAATATAGAAAGAAATTCAAGACATAATTAACCGGCAATAGAAACTTGCCTATGTAAATAATGGCGAACTAACAGTACAATATGTGAGCTTTGAGTAAGCTATAATGAGAGTACAAATCTGTGGGAGAAAGGCAAAGTACAATGGCAGATGAAGAGCTTCTACTTTTTTCATGGTACTTTACTCTGTCTTTTTCTATCAGTAGTATCAGAGTGTGAGATCCTGGAGTGAGGAAAACATAGCAGAAGCTAAATTAAACCTCTCTTCTCTTTTCTGTACCATACCATGGCATCGGACAATAATTTTGTTCAAGCAGCAATTCCTCGCACAATCAATTACTCTGTTCAACAATAGCGTAAATAAAGTAACAAATGCACAATGAATTACTTGTTCACTTTTACTTGTCTAATATTCTAAAAATAAATTAATCGTTTTTCCTTCATTTGTTACCTTGCGACCTGCATCAATTAAGAGGGGCTGACCACACAAATAAACATAGAGATTTTCTTTGAACGAAAATCAGGGACGAGAGTCAGTGATGAGGCAGGCAATGATGGACTAATAATCCAAAGGCAGAATTTTCTCCCAAACGGAATTGGACTCAGCTGTGGATTGAAGTGATTTAGCGATTACAAAAATGCACAAACATCGAGAGGGCTTGTTAAGGCCAGGATCTTCGTAGTACAATCTTCCGCAACCATCGACAAACAAGGTGCGCTTCTCTTACATTTACCATTCCAATTCAAATCCTCCATTGATGACTTTACTGTATTGCTTTTGATTGTCTTACAGTAGTAAAAGATCTACATTCAAAACACATTTTGGTATATTATAAGCATCTATGCTTATTAAAAGTGTTCCTAAATTGGATGGAATCAGGTGTCGACTAATAATATAATGGAAATAAATTTAAGATCAATGAATTAAATTTTTTCCTGATACTTCAAACTTCAGTCAAATAAATAAGACACATAAGTTAAAACTTTTAATTACAGTTGAATTAATAAGACACATAATTAGAATGGAAGTTACTAATTAGAATGCATAATTAGTAACACACCCTCTTGGATTTTAAAAGCTGTGAATGGAAAATGAAAAGTTGTGACTTTCTGAAAAATGGTGACTTTTTTGAAGAGTTGCGACTTTTTCGCAAGGTTGTGATTTTTTTGAATGGTTGTGACTTTTCCAAAGGATTGTAATTTTTTCGAAGGATTGTAACTTTTCCAAACGATTGTGACATTTCTGATAAGGCACAATAAACACCTATTCACACTATTCTTTGTTGTTTATGTTTATAAACAGATGGTTTCTCTCATTTTTCAACAACGAATTTTCTAAATTTCAGAGTTTCTTCCTAAATAAATTGTAGTGTACTTACTGCCATTGAGTGGTAAGTACTTTCGTAATACAAATTAGACAACAAACCCATCAAAAGCATTATTACAGTCTCGATAAATTGGAATGGTAAATATAAGAGAAGTGCATCTCATCTGTCAATGCTACTGAACGATTGTACTGCGGAGATCTTGGCCTTAACAAGCCCTCTCGATGTTTGCCGCATTTCTCTAGTTTCTAAATCACTTAAATCTGCTGCTGACTCCGACTCCGTTTGGGAAAGATTTCTGCCCTCTGATTATCAGTCTATTATTTCTGCATCACTGACTCCCGTCCCTGAGTTTGCTTCAAAGAAGGATCTCTATGTTTACCTGTGTCACCATCCCCTCTTAATTGATGCAGGTCGCAAGGTAATAATAAATGAACAAAGAGGGAAAACAGTAATCTATTTTTTGAATACTAGAGAAGTAAAAGTGAACAAGTAATTGATTGTGCATTTCTTATACTATTATTGAACAGAATTTCTCACTGGAAAAACGGACCGGAAAGAAATGTTACTTTGTAGGTGCAAGGGATCTTGATATTCCATTGGTTGATAGACCATCATATTGGAAATGGACTTCACTGCCAGAGTCCAGGTTTGCGCGACTTTTTTTTATTAAGATCTTCTGAATCATTATTTGTACTGACTGATTTGTAGTTCAAATATATTATTACCTCAGTCCCAATATATGTGAAATAATTTAGATGACTATTGTGTATTCTCATATCGTGAGATCAGGTTTCCGGAGGTGGCTGAGCTCAAACGTGTTTGGTCGGTAGATATTGGGGGCACAATAAGAGCTGGGGTTCTTTCACCGCGGACATCTTATGTAGCATACCTTGTTTACATGTTTGGAGATGAATTTGGATTTAGTTATCGACCCTCAGAGGTTTCAGTTGGAGTTTCTGGTGTTAAATTCGACAAACGATTTGCAATTCTCATGCCAGAAGATGAAGAGTCAATTTATAACCTGCCCCCTGATCTAGAGGATAGGCTCAAGAAAGTGTATGAAGAGGCAGTACGTTCTAATCTGCCTTCTGATGCAGAGGACGATGATCCAGGGCTACGTGATGATATTTATTTGGCGTTGCAACATTTGCCGTTGCAGCTTTTGCCGGAGAATGTTTCAAATCGGCTGCAACTTGTTATGCGACGTCCTAAACTTAGAGATGATGGCTGGTTTGAGATAGAATTGGGTGAGTTTTATACTGAAAACGAAGATGATCGCATAGAAATGAATTTGAAAGAGCTGAAAAAGTGTGCATCTCTAAAGGCAGGGCTTATTATTGAAGGAATTGAGATAAGGCCCAGAATGGATTGATTATCACATTTTTTTTAGAAAATATATCTTCCATTTCATAGAACTGTCAATTATTAGTGAAAAAAATAGATGACATGTTTGTTTTCCAGTTCTGAGATAATGTCTGCAGTATAAGTGTGCAAGTATCACACAATTTAGTTTGACTTTGCTACTTCTCTACCATTTGTTTTGAGGGTGACACATATTCCTATTTAAATAATCCTTAAGAGAGGATAATAAAGAAATTTAGTTACGACGAGAGGGAGTTGCTCGGATGGTAAGTACCCCTCACTTCCAACTCAAAGGTTGCGAGTTCGAGTCACCAAGGGAGCAAAAGGGGGTGGGAGCTCCTAGGGTGGGTAAAAAAAAAAGAAATTCAGTTACGTAATTAATTTATCTGATCTTTTCAATAATCAGTCGTTGTGATTCTAACCAAACGGTCAGTAAAATACCCTTGGTTTTTGTTTTTTTTTTTGTAAATATCAAACCCTTGATTTGTCTTCAAATATGTACCATTTAATTGCTCATTTCAATTTGAACAAATAATTTTATAAAACAGAATAACATTAGCTACATAATTATATTGGATATATAGTGTTTGATAAAATATGATAGTATTTATGTGTTACACGTTTATTTCCAATTTTTATTATAAAGTTCATAAAATAAAACAGTAAATCATAAAAAGTACTTAAAAAGCTACACAACTTACATTTGTGGTCACCAAAGAAAGAATTATTATCAACTATACAAAGACTCAAATCATAAAATTTGAAGTCGTATAATAATTTTTTATTTGTAGTTATTTATTTGTCCAATAGGAATTATATTATATGTGTGTTGTAATTGATTATATAACCACATATTTGTTATCTCAAAATTTAATTGTTTAACTTTACAAGTTTAGAGTACAATCCCTAATATTTTGTATGTATTGAACAAACAATGGAACTTGAACAATCAAATCATTTGTGTAAACTGATTATTTATAAAATTCAACTTGTACTTTTTTTCTTCTGATTTATAAACTCATTATACACATGTTTTAATATTGTCTTATTATTTCAAAATTATTATTTTTTATAGAAATTGCGACACAAGTGCAATACATGTGCCCAAAAACTAGTAAATTAAAGATCCCTTGGACCCAGAAAGTAACATTTCTTTCCAGTCGATTTTTCCGGTGTGAAATTTTATTCAACAAATAGCATAAATAAATAAAAAAATGCACAATGAATTACATTTTCTCTTTAACTTATCTAATATTTTAAAAATAAATTAATTGTTTTTCCTTCATTTGTTACCTTGCGACCTGCTCCAATCATGAGGGGCTGACGACACAGATAAACATAGAGATCTTTCTTTGAAGGAAAATCAGGGACGGGAGCCAGTGATGCGGCAATGAGGGACTGATAATCCGAGGGCAGAAATTCTTCCCGAACGAAATTGGAATCAGCTCCGGATTGAAGTCAGAAATGCGCAGCTGTAGTCTCTAAATCACTTCAATCCACTGCTGAGTCTCATTCCGTTTGGGAAAGATTTTTGTCCTCTGATTATCCGTCCATTTCCACATCACTAACTCTCGTCCCTGATTTTATTTCAAAGAAGGATCTCTATGTTTATCTGTGCCGCGTCCCCTCTTAATTGATGCAGGTTGCAAGGTACTAATAAATGAACAATTGGAAAAGCAGTAATCTATTTGTGGACTATTAGACAAGTAAAAGTGAACGAGTAAATGATCATACACTTTTACCTTATTTATGCTACGGTTTAACAGAGTTTCACACTGATTCCCACATGTGGCTAAGCTCAAACGTTTTTGGTCAGTTGATATTGGGGGCACAATAAGAGTTGGGGTTCTCCATTTGTAAGCATAAGATGCAGAAGACATTATTTTTCAAGAAAGATCCTTATTCTACTTTTAAAAGTTTACAGTTGATATTAAGTATCAATATCCATCGTCTCCCCTCACTTAGGCCTCGTTTGTTTGCAAATTTTAATATTTTTGATCTCATTCATTTAGGCCTCATTTGTTTTCATTAAGATTAAGACGTTTGAATCTGAATGCACATCTGAATGTTAAGATGTGCATTAAGTTTAAGATGTGTCACTCCCGGAGCCTACACCCTGGGCGGGACTGGCACTCGAAAACCATTGCTGGCCCCAAGCGAACCCTTGGCCTGACTTACTTACTCAGCGGAAGATTTTAAGCATTAAGAAAAGAATTCAAATGCTAAATAACTCAACTGTCTCAAACTGAACTCATAATGTTTTAAAAATAAACATTTAACTTAGTCAAAGTGGCAACTCAAAGCTGAACATAAGCCAAAAACAAGATAGTGACAAATGAATTAATGACCGTCTGTCTATGAAGCCTCTAAACAACTGAGATGGATATCCGGACAAGACCCACGACATCCTAATGAACCAACTAATACTGAAAGCAATGAAAAGGGATCCTCCGGAAGCAATGAGGCTCACCACATGACTCTGAGTGCTCAACTGGATCAACGATGCGCTGGATGATGATCCTGGTTACCTGTGTCTGCATCATAAGAAGATGCAGGTCAAATGACATCAGTACATTGAATGTACGAGTATGCGAAGAGAATTCTAAAACAAGACATAAGCTTGAAAGGAACTGAAGAACTTACCTGACTCAACTCAACTCAACTTAACTGAACTCATTTCAATATAAAGCAGTATAAAACAAGTGCAATATAAAGAAAATCTTTTTAAAACATGGATGTCAACTCTGTGTATTTGGAAATACAATAATACTTGGTGTGTATGCAAAGATACAATATAACTCTGAAATGTATGTAAAAATACAATTAAACTGTATATATAAGAATACAAATACTTTTGTGGGAGTTTCTCTAACCGACAACCATCACGTAAGAGCTATTATGATGATACATCGTTTTACCTCACGCTGCCAGGGCTGTCCTATACCTTGCCGAGGGTATAGAACCTGAACTACTAAGTGAATCCACTAGTGTATGCTAAAAATCCCTAAAAGAATCGTCTAAAAAGTATGACCCTTTTCTACCCATGATGGCTACATGGTTTATGGGGGCTGTGAGTTGTCTGAATTCTCCCCCATATCGGTGCTCAATACTACTCCTAAAATATGATACTAGCTCTTATGTTTAAAAACATACTTCTTTTGTGATTTGAGATAATTGCTCAAAAACTTAGCTCAAATTCTATCTTGGAAATCAAAGTTTCCTCTCTTGCTTAATTGTGAAAGCGTTTACTCTTTCTGACAACTAGCTCAAAGGCTCTTTGGAAATCAAGGTTTCCTTTTCTTGTTTAAATGTGAAAATATTTTGAACTCTTTGGGAATACATAGTCCCCATATACTTTGAAGAAATGAACTTCAATCTTTACTCTTTACTCTTTTCTCAACTTGAATTTTCAGTCTTAAAACAACGTTAAAACATTTGGAAAAAACTTTTGGAACACTCTAAGAACTCTTCTTAATTTGACTCTTACTTCTCTTGACTTTGATCTTAACTTTCCTTGAATTGGATTATGGATTAAAGGTTCATGATCTCATATTTATGATGATTTCATGATGTTTAAACGTACCTTAGAGTATAGAAATCGATTGGAAAACAAAGGTACGTTACTAAGGAACTAGTATGGAAAGAAGGGGGGAAAATGGCGTGAATGGCATCCTTGGCGCTCTGAGAGACGTGGGGCGCCAGAGCCCAAAGTTCAGAGAACCCTGCTTGGGGCTCTGAGATGGGCGACGCCCCAGAGGCAAAAGATCGGAGAATTCTGCTTGGGGCTATGAGAGGGTCGACGCCCCAGGCCCCTGCCCAAGTGCCTCCGACTTTTCTTTTCTTCTTCGTTTTTCAACTCTAAACCCCCTATTTCGACTTGGTTCTTTCTCCAAACACTTAGAATCAACTATACCATCAATATATGAGAGATTCTAATTGAATTCACACCTAAAATTATGAATTTGGGTCCAAGAACTTATCAACTCCTCATCAACCAAGAATCAAACGAAACTTTCAACAATGTTCATCAAGAACTCAATTTCTAAACTTTCAAAGACTTAAATTCGCTGAAATAAATCATGATTGGCGCGAGGGTGAACTATTCCAACGCTATGTGATCTCACATACCTCGTAGGGATCATCCCTTGACGAAATCCACAAGCGGTTCTTAAAGATCTTGACGATTCTTGCTTCTTCTCCTCTTCTTTTCTCTTCTCTCAAAAATCCTAACTCTTTTTTCCAAAAGCGTAAACTAACTAAGATCAGTTTAAACTCTAAATAATTACCCAAAAACGAAATAAAATAATTGGGTAAGGAAAAGACCATAACGCTCTTCTAAAATTCGGATTAGACTTTCCTTATTTGAACAGCCCAACTTCAAATGGGCATATCTCAGTCATACGAACTCGAAATCGCGCAAACTCGGCGGCGTTGGAAAGATTATTCGAACGATATCTGGAAACACACCTAATCATCCTGAGCTAGGAGTTATGGTCGTTTGAAGTTGACCAAAAACTCAAACTTAACAGTACTTAACTAAATTTTCCAGATTTTCATTCTTTCCAAAAATGGCTCTTTCTAGTTACGGGGTATTACAAGATGTCAGAATCTGAATGCTCATCTGAATATTAAGATGTACTTTCTAGGTCTGAACACTGAATCATTAAGATTGTTTGTTTTCAATATCTGAATGTGCATAATTTTTTTTAAAAATTAAGAATTAAACACTATATCAATAAAGGTTATAACTCAAACCAAGATAACTTCTTCCAAAAAATTGTTTCAAGAATAAGATTATAACTCACCCAGAAAAAAGATGATTTATTTGTTTTCTCAAGAAACAATAATAACTTTTTTCCAAAGAAGTTCTGACAACAAACGAATTGTGACAAGAAGAGTTCTTCATAAATATCAATTCACTCAAGAATATTCTATATATTAAAAATATTAGATTAATACTTGTAAAAGATTATGAAAACTTACTTATTAAAAAGAAAGTATTTGATTGAAAAATGAGAGGAAGAAACTTGAAACTTGCCCAGAAGAGGAATGAAGAAGAAAATTTGATTCA